GTTTTCCAAGAGGAGCGAGTGATTTCTTTCCCCCTCATCCTTGTATGACTGAGATCACTAAACTAAAGCTGTGCAAGGGCCAAGAGGAAAAAAAGAATGAAATTGCCAATCATTAAACCCAGTTTGGTAAGTTTGTGTTAAAGCTGTGATTGCTGTACTCTTGCTGTAAAGTTTAACAAAATCAGAAGAAAGCAAAGCAACAGCTTTGCCAAAATCACCAGGATGTGGAGTACTCCTTCTGGGCACCACATTTCAGCTCTCCATAATTCCAACAATTTTGGCTTTGCTTACCAATAAAGATTTACTGGCACATATCAATGTTTACCAAGGAGGGGACAGAAACCACTGAACATTCGCAGCCAACTTGCTAAACTTCTTGTTCAGAGACTTAGAAAAACAAAGATGCATTTCAAGAGTAGTACTTGTGTTTATAACATTCTCAGTCCCTCTCTGCCATACCCACAGACCCTCTGCCTTGAAAACACGTACTGAATCCCTTAAAACTAAGTTACCATAAGCCTGTGTATAATCCTATAGAAAGCTTGTGACATCTTTGTTAAACCACAAATCTAAATTTCACTTGAGGAAAATTATAGCATGCTTTTTGGTTTTTTTTTTTGGTGTATTCAAGTCATGAAACTAATACGACTACTGAAAAGAAATAAACCTAATTACAAAAGAAACTGTGACCTAATTTTCTATATTTATTCCTTATGAAGAAATTTTGAAATACTCTCTGTGCCTTTTAAGCCCTTTTGGAAATCCTGAAGATTTTTTTTTTTCCATGGACATACTGAAATCTGTAGCTGGCAGCTTTGTGCCAATAGGTCTTAAATTATTTTTTTTTAAACAGATATGTGTGTACAACAGAAATAGAAACAAAACAAAGTCTCAGTAATCACAAGGATTTAACCTTTGTTAAAATGTTGGATGTCAGCTACATGAAATATCATAGTATTTTATTATAGAGATGTAAAATCATTCCATACAGTCTTCCAAATATACAACTTGTATTTCAGACACAGATACCAAGAGGGAAAAAGTCTCCAGCTGTCTAGAACTCCAAATTCTCTCATTTGTACTGCCGTTTAACATAAGACAAAATTTAAGACCAGACTTTAACTATTTCCAAATGGGTTTTTTTACGTTTCTGCTGAAACCTTTAACCATTATCTAGCATGAGAGTTCTGAAACAACAAATACACCCACCATATTCCTTTAATTTTGTGTTCAGAGATTTTTCTTTTGAATGCTTCATATCATACACTAATGCTATTATATGATAAATAATTAATGAGAGCGAAATAATCTTGGGCAAATTGCAAGTCCAAATGATTTTAAGCACTGACACACAGAAAGCTCTTAATCCTGTGGGGTAATGACTGTAGATAATGCAGTAGCAATACCAGACTCAGATTATAACTTTGTGTAAATCTCCGAAGAAACTATTCATTCTTTGACACAATCTCACAAAAACTAAATACAGGCTTTACTGAGGAAAATACTCTCCACGCACACTAGAAACCTGAACCACAGTGCATGTGGGAAATGCAGAACACTGCACTGAAACAAAACAGAAGGGCCTTAGAACTCTTCTCTCTAATTCTAGTACATGTTAGCCTTTCTTTTTTTTTCTGGAAAAGATACAACATGATCCAAGGAGTGACTTATTTTAAGCATTACCTTCTTTGAGCCCCACAAATGAACACAGTGTGCCATGGGCCTTGCGAGTGGCCCAGGCACATACGTGTCCAATGAAATATGCTGAGCTGACAAGTCAGATAACGCTCCAAGCATTTTGCAGACTCCGGTGAGCTGGAGTCTCAGTTTGACCCACTGACATGAGATTTCCCATCCAGAAAGCAAATGCTGTATTTTGGGGTGGCCTACAGGAAAGGGTAAATGTATTTTGAAGGAGAATTTGGTAACAAAAATGAAAAATTAAGCATTTTAGTCCTTGTTCTAGGTTGCTTTATTTTTCTACTTAAAGACAATTGGAGCATTACAGTTAATAGGGGGACCTATGAAATAACTTACTACTTAGGCATTGTACCTTTAAAATCATTAAGCCTGTATGTTATGGTGCAATTTATAGTAAAGAAAAATAACCACCTCCAGTGATATATCAATAATTTATTGTTTTGCATAAGAAGGTGAGATTAGATTTCAGTAAGACAACAAACAAGGACCTGATGGCAAATTCAAGTATAGAGCTTGATACAATATTAAAAAATACTACCATTTATTTGACTATGGCAAACAGCTAAAACACAATAAAAACATCTGGACTTGACTGTCAAAACATACGGTCCTCTAAAAACCCACACAGCACAACTTGAATACGTGGAATATTGGAAACACATTTAAGTCATCTTCATTCCCATATTCTTAGGAGTCAAAGAAACGGTTCCCCCCTCTCTTGCTACCCCAGAACAATTCAGCACATGGGCTCCATGTCCACCACAATAAGCAGGCTCCTGTCCTTTAGAAACTGTTGGGCTAAGACCTTCTGCTTTGATCTAATATCACCTCTGCCTGCCTCATGGAGGCCAGTGGCTTTCATTTTACTATTTTTGAAGCTAATGCTGCAATAGTATTGATTTTCAAGTGCAATCTAGTAATTTAATTAAAACTATTGCTCCTGAAAGACACTGTGCACATTCTACTCTGTCGGTTGGAATTATGTTTTTGTGATTTTCTTTTGTTTGCAGGTGTTACAACTCAGGAACTGGCTCCTGGCTTGGAGATGGGGCAGGCAGCCATCCCACTAGGAGACTCTGCCAGGGCTGTGCCGAGGATCAGAGGGTCAGTGTCTGTAACTGCAGCAAAGTACCGCGCTGTGTACTGCTGCCCAGCACTGCAAACCTGCGCAGAGGCTCCTGCTAGACCACACCGACCCAGGAATGGGAATTAAATTAATTTCAAAAGGACAAGAAAAACAGCCTGCAGGACTGCCAGAACTGTTTCTACCAGGGAGTCTGCAGTTTATTCTATTTCTTAAAGAGAAAAGCAGGTCTCTTACGTGAGTGTTATTGTACACGAATGTTCTGAGACAGCCCAGGTTAGAAGCAGCGTGAAGAGTCTTTCAGTAATGACTAAAGCCCCTCTTGGTGGAAATGGCCAGGTCCTGGGAGATGCTGAGTGCCCTCTCAGTTTTGGTTGGTTGCAAGAGATGGTAAGGACGCTTGGCATCTTGCAGGCAAAGGCAAGGAAAATGGTGAAATTTGACAAGAGCTACATTACAGTTGTTCAAGCAGAGCGTGTATCCATACTGGGGTTCAGTACATCCGTAACTCTTGCATAAACATTTCCAGACTCCCAGGGCTTTTGTTGTTGTTGCTTGCATTTCATTTCTTTTATATGACTCTAAGCCAAATGCAATGACCCACACATTAAATATGCATTTAGAATAAAACTGCAAAATCTGATGGCTTTGTCAGCGTACGAACTGAAAAAAAATATTTACATGGAATGTTGAGCTCCATTTACAGAGACAGTGTTTCAAATTACAGACTCAGTAATCTCTGTAGTAAATGATCACATTGACAAGAAATTAAAAAACTTAACATCCCTTTTGAACCCTTTCATAAATATATAAAGCTTCACTAAATTCTTTTTTCTTTAAACAAGACAGCTATATTCTCTTTACAGATTAACATGAAATAATGGGTTCCTGTTTGAGTGCCACAGATGGGATGATCTGAAGTCAGCAAGTTCCTATAGCCAGTCTGTACTTAAAAGACATATTCACAACACAACACACAGGTGTTACTTGGTCTTTACAGCTGTACTCATTTCCTGCATATCAGCAGTAAACAAAGAAAAATGCCAAATTATCTATATTAAAAATATACATTTGCTTACACTGCCACATCAAATTTTAAAATGAGGTTTGAGGTTTCCAACTGTGTCTGACCAGTGACAAGGACATTTTTTGCAGTGAAGTCTACAGAACTAATTTATTTTTGAGTGAAGACAAATTATCTGTTATGCTAGTAAAAAGTATCACTGTGTACTAAAAAATTAAAAGAATTAATCTTAGGTGACTGCTTCCCAGATCTCCAAGGCTTCCTCACTAATGATTTGAAAATTTGATGGAAAAATTGTTCTAAAAGATGCCAAAAATGTCTGAAATCAGCTTGAAGGGAAAAAAAAGTTACTCTTTACTTTGTTGCTAACCATATCACTTTGTCATTGATTTTACAGAAGATACCAAAGATACCAAATATTTTTGAATACCAAAGATTTTGAAGTTATATACATAGTAGCTCACATTTTTCCCTATTTAAATAAATATTCCTGTGAGTTTTCCTTTTTGTGCCACAAAGCATGCGTGAAAGTATTTTCAATCCATGCATGCTCACAGCAGAGTATTTCACAATCGAGCCACTGAATACATCTTTCTTTCCGTGACTATGTAAGTGCAAAGGAATACCAAAATCACTCTGTACATGTAAGACAAGGTTCACATCTAGAAAAGTAAAAACACTTATCTTGATACGTAACTAGAACTACAATGTCTTCATCATAAAAATGTTGGTCACTTCTGCCTGCTTCAGCTCCCTCAAGCACTTACAGTGTAATAAGTTCCAAGTGCTGATGTGCTCTTTATGGGAGCAGTTACACTTAAAACCATCAAAGTGCTGATCTCCAGCATTAATTAGTGTCTTCTGCAAACCCTCCACTAAAAAAGCTTACCTTGGAAATACACAGATGATGATAACAAGGTGTTTGGCAGTTTTGTTACACTAGTATTAGCTCCCTTTATGGAGCACAGTAAGACTGCAATTTAATCTGACAGTTCTGCCCCAAAATTGTGGGCAGGAGGATTGAGGACACAGGAAAACAAGACCAGTTCCAAGTGCATGAATAGTGTACCTGCTGCTCAGGTAGAGTTAGAAAGCCCTCCTACCAAGAAAATGGCCATCAAGTAATGCCTAACCATGCCCCATAGTTAGATGCTGAGACAACAGCAGATGTTTTATCGATTCAAAATGTTGTTATGAATGCAACCAGCTGACGGGAACCCAGAAGGTCTCGGTCTCCAACCTGTCAAAAGTTGTTTTAAGCTCACTGTAAGCTGTGGCAAGGTCATCGTTGACTATGACCTTATCGAAAAGGTGGCCGTACTGGCTCTCCATCACATGGGCAGATTTAATCATTTCTTGAAAATCTTCTTCCTAGTAAGATCAGTGGAAGGCATAGTCAGTTCATAGCAACATCACACAAACTTATTCTGTGGTAAATGCAAAGCTACTTGCTTATTTGTCATCTCAGCAGGAGATGCAAACTGTGAGTTTCAGTTTAAAAAATTATAGAAATTACCATTACAGGTAATCTCAGAGAGCTTTCTCACAAGTCAACTTGGCTCAACAGGCAATTCTTTCATCTCTTCCCTTGCAGTGACACAATCAGTCACTGCATGGTAATTATAGAGAAACTTTCTGTTAGCAGTACCAGTGGAAAATGTTTCTAGTGGTTGACTTCGATGATACATGTAAGATTTCATTATTTAAGTTTCACCTAGCTACTAGCATGTGGTATATTACAGTGCAGCCTTGATTCCTTTAAGAGCTTGGTAGGACCTGGCTTCCTAAGCCTGGTTCAGCCTGGCTCAGTGGATTTCTCTTCATGTTTGGGGAGGGAGCAAATCTTAGAAATTCAATTGTTTACATAACTGAGACATTAAACCCATCCAAACCAAGCAATGTCCTGAAGGTTGCTCTTAAGATTAAACTCCTTTTAAGTACCATAGAACATACTCATAGCACATTTTTTTGTAAACTATTTCAAATGCATATACTACAGAGATAGTTGGTGACTATATCCATGACTCAGTCTGAAACAAATTCTGAAAAATCCTACATAACATCTGAATGATAAATGCACATCATAAATGTAGATAAAAAGTCTAACAATGATCAGCTTTTCTTTAGCTTCAATTAAAATATTATTTCAATATATTTCAAGGAAGTAAAATATCGTTGGGTAATGTGACTAATATTTTTTTCTGGTTATTGAAAAAAAGCAGCATTTTTTTACTTGCCTAGATTTTTCTCTTTTTTTACACAATTCCCCTGTAACATTTTAAAAATTTTTTTTTCTTATCCACAAATATGGGCTTTTTATTAAAGTAGCATTTACTTTTCAAATAGACGCTTTATATTGGAGCTTTCCTTTAAATTTACACTCAGTAATACACTTGATAAAATGAGGAAATTCTTATACTGGAATAGAGACATCTAAGCACAGGTGCAAATTTTTTGAAGGAAATCCACAACATTATTTCTCAAGGGCTCTTCAACGACATAAAATCAGAGGAATGTGGAAACTTAAACACCTATCTGTGATGTGAGAGAAGTTGGGAAACAACAAGATACTATGTGGAAGCCCTGACAAGTTCTGTTGATGAGATCCAGTGATGAACCTTTATTTTCAAGGCAAACCGCTACAACAAAACTCTTAACAAGTTCTCATGTTTTACCATGTCTAAATGTACTTACTGTAAAGGGTTTTGCAGTTCCCTTATCATCTTTACTCGAAATAATCTTGGCATTTTTTCTGGTCTCTCTCAAGCGGTCAAGTGATGGAGGCTTTATAAATATAACAAATGGTTTAAATTCATATGTCCGTAAGTGTTTCACTGTCTGGGAAGAGGGAAGATTTTACTTAATTAGTTTACTTCACACAGTGGAATTTATGGCAATAGAAGAAACTCTCCACTAACCAAAATAAACCCATAAAGCACTCCTAGAAGGCTATTTTTCATTTACTGCTAACCTGCTCTGCCGATTGGCATCAATACACGTAAGGAAAATTTTTGTGTGAATGGTAAGAAAACCATTTCTCCAAGAGTGATGATTTCTCTTGGTTTCCACACAGGCTGCTGGTAAACCCCATCAGACTAGCAAAGGCTGGGCCACCCGCAGCAGAAGTATGGAGGGGAGCAGCAGGGCATTCAGGAGAGGAGGAAAAGTTCAACACATTTTAGCATGAATAACACTCTGTACCTATGAAAAGTAGTGGAAAAAGGTGTCTGTGACACTTGGTCACAACAGGTCAAATATTTTTCTCTTCAATACTGTGTGTATTGAAGCAGGTAACTCCCTGCTGTTCACTCTTCCTGAGCGAGCTGAATGATGCTAGGAACGGAGTTAGAGCTAGGTCTATGAATCCGACTGCAGCACAGGGTGAAGCAGGGATGGCCACTAGCTTTGGCTGAAGTAGGGATGGCCAGCAGCTTTCCATCCTTTTCACACTGCCAGGGCTCACAGGAAAATGTCATGTCAAATAGTGGGACCTTACAAGCCTGGATCTCTGGGAGAATCTAGTGTTTCATTGGAAAATGGCTCTGTTGGACATGCAGGGGCCTCCCAGAGCAGTCTGGCAATATCGGCCCCAGGAGTCCCTGCCCAGCTCCCTCCTTCCCTGCTACAGAAGCTGGGGTCGGGCTTGCCTGGGTGCTCCTCTGCCAGCACAGTCGCCCTGCTGTGCTCCTAGGGGACAGCCCCTCATCTGAAAATGCCCCAGGAACTGTTCACAAGCTGCTGGGGTTCAGAAGTCGCTGGCTGGCCACACTTGGAGAAGAAATACTTTAGCTGTGTTTAAACAAACTAGTCCAGCTCCTGGAAGCACTGTGGTTATTAGTAGCATAAAAATTCCCAGTGGAGCTGTTCAGTGGGGTTGAAAGACAAGGTCAGTGTAAGAAGAAATGATTTAGAGTGAAATGGTCTTAACAATTATCCAGCCAACATCACATTTAGCGTGTTCCTTGACTGATGTCCACCCTGAATGTAAACCCTTGGCATGAATGGTCTGGTTAAAGATGTGAGAAAGAGTTGCTGCACTAGGTGACAGCTCAAAGCCATTCTGAAACGGCAGTTCCAAAGAGTCTCTAACCTGAACCAGCAGAATGATGAATGGAAATATCTGAATATTTTATAATTAAATCTTCAGTATTATGCTGCAGGCTTTCAAGTCACTTAAGTACCAAGCTGAATACTTGCCAATATGTATTGAAGTTTCCTTCCTGTCTTTTCAAAAAGCCTTGCTGTCATAAAGGTACCCAGCAAGCCCACACAACAGTCATTCAGTGTGGCACAAAATACACCTTTTTAGAAACACACTTTTTTTTTCCTGAAATCCTAGTATGCAATATGAGCAACTACAAGAGTCCAAAAGACATGCTTACTTACATGAGGCTGCACATCCAACAAACAAACTTTGTTTTTAGCTAGAACTGATCGAACAGAGTCTAGACTTGTACCATAGTAGTTGTTTTTATACTCGCCATACTCAATAAACCTGTGGCAGAAGGTGAAAACAACTGGAATCATTTCCATTTTCTCCAGGAAAAAAAAAAAATTATCAGTTTGGTTTATAAGATCTAATTCAGGAGCAAAAATATTTTACTTTACATGAGAGTTTTACCATGTTTTATAAAGGAAATGCTGTCAAGTACTTCAGCATGTCAATTTTAAGAAATCTTCTACTTTACCACTTTCAAATCAGTAACACCTGCTTGTATTACAGTTAAAGAGAAAAAAGTACTGTAGTCCAACAGCCCACTAATGTTTTCCATCACCTCTTTTTCTGAACTATTGCAATGCAATAAAACAGGGGATAAGCTAAACAATAGAAACTACTGAAATTTCACTGCACACTACAGAATATCCAAATTCTCTGTCTCAGAAGAGGAGGAGGAGAGACGATAGTGCTAATGGAACCAAGGCGGCTGGTTATGTGCTATAAAAGTACGAATGCTATTTGCCAAAAAAGCAAAGCACAGTTTGAAGTTTCAATAAAACCCACAGCTTTGTGTCTAATACAATTTTGCCCTCTGAAACACTGGAGCAGAATTTCAAGCTACAGCATTTTACAGGCTGCTAGAGAGCATGATGCTACCATTGTCTTCATTTTAGTTTAGTTTCTGGAGGGTTTACAGGCAAGGGCTTCACTGTGGATCTCTAAAGTCAAAAGCAGAGGAAGTGCCTGGCCTGAAAGAGAGCAGAACTATGCCAACACTGACTCAGGCACGTTTGCAGCACTTCCAGCCAGCCCCCCTCCCCACCCTGCTCCTAGAGCTACAATGCTTTATTGCTGTGACAGATGATGTTCTATTAAAAGCAAACTCACCTATCCTGAACACCTACAATTTCAGTGTCTTCTTGAGGACCTGAAGTACTGAAACTACTTGGAAATTTAAAAACATTTGTGTTTGCACATACTGCTTTTTTGCTGTGTTTTTGCCAGCTGCTTTGAACTGCTTATATATCAAAATGCAATTTTAACACATCTTCAAATCACTGCAGCTTATATCCACTTTAACTTATTATCTAAAATTACAACCAGGCCCATTTTATAATAAAGCCATTGTTTTAACAGCAGTTTCAGTTAAAATCTCTTTGACATACTTGTTATTCTGTACGTCTGTCTCAAACAAGTGCTTGGAAATGAAAATGTATTCGACACCATCACTTTCTTGGCTTCTCCTTGGACGGGTAGTGTCTGTAGTTCCATAAAATTAAAAAAAAAAAAGAAAAAAAAAAAAAAGAGGCACAAAACAATATAATGCAAACCAGCTCAGGAAAACTGAAAACCACACAACCCTTGTGCAATACTAAGTGTAGCGGTTCCCTCACTTCTGATGGACATAAGGCTGCTCTGGATCTGGTAGCAGATGACAGGGTTGAGTTTTAACAGCATGCAGGAAAAAAACTACTGGACAAATATCAGATTATCATTTTTATTAACTAGTGGAAAAATCCAATAAAATGAAGACAGCTGAATAATAAAAGGAGCAGCAGTCCATAACAATTACCCAAGCCTTGCCACTTCTTAAACTTATTAGCATACGAGACCATAAAGGGAAACAAAGTTCACCAATGTGATTTATAAAGTATTATGTTCATTAACAACACTTGCAGCTATGGTATGTGAAGCACGATAATAAAAAACGGGGCGTGAATTTTATGTCTTAGTGCTTTTCTTTTTCTGGTGATCAAAGTTTTATACCTTTTTCTTTCAGTAGCCTTGTAGTATGTGCACTTCTTGCTTTCCCTCCAGTATTAGGTATAAAGGTTTTGCTTATAAATGAAACTTATTTGTGGGGTTGCTGCTTATGGCTAATGAACCCATTTAAAAAAGCTATTTAATACAAGTTGCATGTTACAGCATCGTGTATTCTCCATCACATGCGAACATTCACAACCTGGTTGCAGCAACACAGTCATAAATGCCCTTTGATATCATGCTCTTCTTAGGTTGACACCACGAGGAGCATTTCCAAGACAAGAACCCCAGTTCTCCCTCCAAGTCCTGACTTACTGAATTTCAGTGAGAGGGATTTCTTTACATGTTTGTTTTAAATTATAACCACAAATTTGGAAGAGAAAAGAGAGAAGGCAGCTTGATGAATACTGGCAATTTTCAGAGAAATACTTTTGGGCAAATGATTGCATATGCTTCAATGCGTTAAATATTTGAGAACATCTGGCTTTTTTGTTGTTGTTGTTTTCAATACCCAGCTGAAGCAAATATGTGCACATGAAATGACTTGCCAAAAATCAAATGGATTCATTTTTCTACGTAGCAAATTCATTCATATATATATAGTTTGTAGAATACCCATATGGTAACAAATTCAGAATGTTGGACCCATATTTTTTGAAGGATTCCTACAAAAGGCACAAGTGCAAGTAAAAAGCAAACCAAGGAACGAAAGTCTAAAACTTTCAAGACATTAACAAAAACCCAATAAAGTACTGTAGAAGTTAATACAGCACAATGCTATTCAATGTTATAAAAATCACGCTGCTTGGTCAGATGGGGGAAAGGGGAAAAAATCCCACAAATCAACTTTTCTAAAGCTAATCAAAGGGATTTAATTCATTTATTCACAAGATTAAACTGTTTATCATCAGTCTTCATTTTTCAGCCTAATGTGTAAAGGCCATTTTGCTGAAAGCAAGCACTGGTAACAGTACATTTCACTGCTTTCCAGCCAAATCCAGGGTGTTCTTCAGACAAGTTACATTTACTAAAACTCTCTGACATCAATCATGTTAAACTTGTACTAAAAGTCTATTGCAATGCTTCTGAGCCAAACCGTCCTATCAGTTTAATCAATGCTTTTTAAAATATAACTGCAGCAGCACTTTTAAAAATTAGAAAAGTAATCTGAAAGCCAAGCATGCATTCAGAGACCCAAATTTGAAAGTGCCTTAAGCTAATGCAATAGTAAAGGATAATAGTGCAAGTGTAGCACTAGGAGACTAGAAATGTATTTTTACTTACGTGGCACAGTTACCCCGTAATGCTGGGTGTCACTGATCAGCAATTTCCGCTTAAGTTCATTCAGTCCAACCCCTACAGGACCTGAAAGAAAAATATCGTGCTGTTTCCCAGCAGCCAGTCCTCTCTCATCTGCAGGTGTAAGCACCCTCTGAGGGAAGACTATGTATCATACACTGGCTTTTAATCAGTCCTTTGGAAATGCCCATGGTTCTAGCCTTTCCTAGAATATACACCACTGACAAATTTCAGGGAACGTAGTTGGCAGTTACTCTGCTCTGATTTTATTAGTGAGGAAAAAATCAGAGAAAAAGTTGACAGCAAAGCTCACTTTCTTTTCTACAGCAACTACCCTCAATACATACCTATCTCCATCCTTGGACCTACTACAGACCCCTGCACCCTTTAGAAAAATATTCTACAATATTTGTGTGCATCTTTCCAGCACAAAAACTGGTTTAGCTATTCATTTTGCCAGAATATCCCCAACTCACAGACTGGAGGACACCAGCTGGCATGCACAAAGTTCCCCCTGTACTCTGTGTATCAGAATGGCCTTTTCCTCACTCCCTCCAGGTGCTGCATCCCTTGCCTGCACCAAAACCCCTTGAGGACCATTTCTCCCACCTTCTCCGCCGGCCCTGGGAGCGCTGTGCTCCTTCCAGCTCCAGCTGCAGGCAGGAGAACCACCCAGCCACTGGCTGGCTGTAGCTACCACTACCCACCTTTTGACTGGGCCAGAGTGGCATTGTGTGGCAAAAAGAAGAATGGGCAGCACTCCCCATGTCACAGCCCATTTGGGATGTTTGGGTTTCTTTTCTTTCTTGTCTATTTTCTTTTAAATATGCTCGTGTCCTGGATGCTGTGTGAACTAGTCCAAAGCAAATGTTTCCTTCTTCATACAGCTCCCAAAGAGAGACCACTCTTGGAAAGAGGATGGTAGGAAGAAACAAAGACTGCATGGAATTTTTTTGACCTGTCTCCTCCACCTCCATTTGAGTAATGGTGTCCTAGAAGCTACTGAGCAGATGTTCCTCTTGGCTTTTGAGTTGTCCCCAACTCTTAGCCATTTGCCAGTGGTGCTTTAGATCTCAGTAAGGGCACTCTGTCCTGAGAGGTCTCAAAGGCTCCACCGGCAATTGCTGCTTGACCTCAGGAGCCCTTCACACAGGGCTCCAGCCTGCCTGGCCCCTTTCGTGGTGGGGCCATGGTGTTGTGTGGGTGAAGGGAGCTCAGCTCTTCATGATTATGTGTTTCTGACAGTGTAGTGGTTTCAGTTCCAGAGTCAGGTAAACAGCAGAACACAGAGGAGTCACTGAAGCCATATCCCAAATAATACAAGGATAATACATGTGGTCTTAAGGGAAAAATCCTGCTCTTCTAGTAAAAGCACCACATTTATGCATGGAGTGCTTCTTAACAGAGACATTCGAGACATCAGAAATACAAAACCTAATTAACTTTTTAATGAAGTAGTGATATATTGGTTAATTACCAGTGAGAGTGAAAAATCAAAGACTAATGCTTCAGCACCTTCAGGTGCCTATTTGTAATAATTACTATCCTCCCTGTCTGAAGTCAGAAACACATAGTGATGAAAAGAAAACGCTTGTTACTTTTCCGCTTCCCCCAGACTATGGTCTCTTTGTAAAATCCTAGAGTTTCTGCATTTATAATTTTTATATGTTTACATAAGTTGAACACTCAACTGCATTTCAGGTTCCATATCTGACCTGCCTGTAAATTAACCTATCAGTATGTATAAATGTTTATTTAATATGGTGTACAGCAGCCTCTACTGGTGCATGTCTGCGGAGGAAAGCAATGTAGATAATCGCATTACCTTTTTTTTTTTTAATTCCTTTTTTAATAGTTTAGCTATTTAAGGCAAATATAGATTTTTATAGGAAATTTAATTAAAATTCTCAGTACATCCTAGCAAAGTAGCATAAGGTAAGTGGGATTAAAATTTTAAATATTACTGTATTCCTTTCAGGCAAAACATATTTCTTATCAAATGTAAACAAATATTATTTCCTAAGTCTACACGCTGTCAAATCAACAATATGCTTTTAGCTCTATTTCTATAGAAAGAATCCATGTTTCCCTTCCTGTGACACACAGTTTGGAAACTTAGATCAAATCTGTTTACAAACTGTAACCCCACTACTACCCTCTCTCCCTTCCAGACCACCACTTAAAAATAATCTTTACATTTAACTACTGAAAGGTGCAGATTCTTCTTTTTCAGTGCCGTCTTCACAGAGTTCTCATAACTGTAGCACACAGAAGCTGAAGGCTGATTCCTAATTAGCAGTGCCATCCACGATGTGGATTTTTACACTACATCTCCCAAGTGCAATGTACACTTCTATTCTGAAAATTCTTTTCATTTTGATGCAGCAGAGAAAAATGTCAATGCCTAATTACCATGAATCTGAACACAATCTGAACTCAAGGAGAAAATAAAGCATCAGGATAGAAAAGGATAATCCAGATTCTTACAGTAAAATGCCAGGCATGTGGAACCCATGACTATAGCACAGTTTTGGCTTACTATAAATCACCCCAGGAAGCAATATTTAGAGTTATGGTGACAGATTTAGAGATATTCTGTTTATTTTTTTTAAAGGAACATTTATGTTCCTTGCTGTTGCATGCTGAGTCATGTAAGCTAAGTAGTGGCTGAATCCTGCATAAATGGACTGTAGTGCCTACCTCACTTTATGGAGGGACACTTGTAGAATTAAAGCACCAACCAATAAAACCTGCATTATTTTTTGTACCATTCAGACATGCCTGAAGAAAACTAAAAATATCATTTGAAGTTGCTTCAGGTCTCAGGATGGTTAACCCAACTAGTCATTTTTCACCCGCAGATATATACTGAGCTCCTAGAAGTCTATATGAAAGAAAAAGAAAAAACAAAACAATACCCCAAAGTCGTCTTTCTGAAAAGATTTTGGGAGTTGGGTGACAACTGGGATCTTAAAGACCCTGCAGAAAGCATGCCTTCACAGAGGTTCTGTGCCTTAGTTACCAGTACAACTGATCCCTATAATGTAATGACTGCACAGGCATGTCCAACTGTAGCTCAATAAAATCTGCAGTAGAAAAGTAGAATGTCATTTTTTGGTGTTGCAGTAAATGATACATAGCAGTGGGAGTGTACTTTGAGATTTGCTGTTCACTGAAGCAGGATCAGTGAGTTCTCATGGGCAAGGCCAGGCAATATGTTACATGCTATGTATTCATTCCTGAGCTATGCTGACCTACCCGTGCCTTCAACCAGGAAGGTTTAACTAAGATAGCAATCCTAGGTCTCTTTCTTCACTGAAGGGCAAAACAAAACCTAAAAACCCCTTCCAACAGTAAATTATACATTTATAATACAGCAGACATTTAGCGCCTCCACCAATTACAGCTACACATTAATTATCTGCCCCTTTGTTTCCTGGTACTAATATCCCAATTATATTTGACAGATTATACTGAATGCTGCTACTGGCACACAAAAAGCTTTTGAAATGTGTTCACTTCTACTGTATCTGCATCTGCTAGTTTTTCCACATTTTGCCCAAGACATTTTTATGGTATTGGCCAGACTTAAGCTGCTCTTAATATCCAGAGAAAAACATTAGAATTACTGAAGTCTGCAATAAATTTCTGAACTGCTTTCTTTTGTTAGTGAAAAAGCACACTTTCTTCATTTGATTTATTACGACAAAAATCAAATGAAATCTCCAGGTATTCCTTAGATCAGACATATGCAATTTGTTATAAAAAATCTACTTATCACACTTTTGCACTGCGCTCTGTTGATGTAACTGTAAAATCAACTCAACCATGTTATTACTTCTTGTATATAACCCACAATCTCACAGTGATCACACTAGTAGGTGGCTGAATTTTAGTGCTGGAGAGTGACAAAACTGTTTATTAAATACTAAATTTAATGTTCCCTTGGATATGAACGATATGAAAACACAGCTACTCAACAGTTCATAACAGTCCCTGATAGAGGGTTGTATTTCTCTGCGCTGCTGCTTTCAGAATGGAAAAAACTTTACTAATGAAGCATCAGCCTATGTGCTACTGCAAAAGAAACAATAAGCAACGAGACTTTACTCATTGGTAGGAATGGTTACTCATCACTCATTGGTACTCCAGCAGTTACCTTTGAAAAATTTAGGATAATGGACCTTTCTCCTTTCTTTAGGGAGACTGAAGCAATGCATTTTGATTAGATAATAAATGCTGTGGGGAAACCATGGCAGTGACAGATTGCAGAAGAACAGAACACTGACTAAGGATAACATCTTGAGCCTTCTGCAGCTATGCTTACATCTGTTCTTGGCCTACAGAGGAGTTCTAATACAGCTTGACTGCCAGGTTGAGACTAGTAACCATGGCAGCTATATTTTAATGTCATCTTTAAACATGATCTCCTAAGGCATCCTTACAGACAAGTTGGGATATCCTGTCTAGACAGATGGACAGCTAGATAGGTGAAAACCTGAATGGACGATCATGTTCAAAGGGAAGGGGTTATTGGTCTGTGTACTCTACTGGGTGACACATTATAAGTGGAGTTCCTCAGGTGTCTGCTTAATATCTGTATTAACAATTTGGAGGACACAGAATGGGTGATGCAAGTGACTTGCTCCAGAGCAGGACACTGATATGGTACAGGCATAGGCTGGCAGAACTTTGTGAAATTTGATGGGGACTGATTGGCTGGGGTGCATCTTGGATGAAAAGGACTTGGGGGTCCAGGTGAGCAGTGAGCCAAGCATGGGTCTACATCACACAGAGGCAGCAGTGAAGACTAACAGAAAACTGGCCTGTATCAGCAAGAATCTAGTCCATTGACAGAGGGAAATGATTCTTCCTGTTTACTCTGCACTCAGACTCTCCGAGGAATACTCTGTCCATGATGGGCCCTGGACTGCAATAAAGATGTTGATAAACTGGAGCAAAGCCAGTGGAAGGCCTCCATTATGGTTGTGAGCTGAAGTACATGACCTGTGAGAAAAGGCTGAGGGAATTGGTCTTGTCTAGTTTGGAGAAGAGACGTCTTCAGGGGACCCACCAGCACCCTTCTGATATCTGTTGAAAAGATACCTCTTTACTGAGATGTGAGGTTGGAAAACAATACATGGTAGGAAGACAGGTTCCCAAAGCTGTTGTCATCAGCAATCTGCTCTGAATTCAGTGTTAATCCTGCTGTGTGGGAGGCTGGACCAGGTGACCTCTATTTCACCAGGTCAAAAATAAAGAAAACAACTTACCAACCAAAACTACAAGCCTGTATTTGTCATTAGGTTGTCGTCTATATTTTGCAACTTCTTCATATGTTGGGATATCTGCTGTATCATACTGATCACTCTTCTTGCACTCATACATAGATTTGTTTGTTTTTTTATCTTTTCTGCTAAGACGAAAGCTTCTTCTAAATCCGGCTGCAATAAGAACAGGATTTTTTCAAAGTAAGAAATTAATTCTTCTTAAAACGTCTGAAAACAGTGTCTTCCAAACATTTGAGGATTGGTGCACGGAATAAAAAATGTATTATATTTTTAACAAGTCAGGTCATTAGAACAATATTTTCCTGCAGTTTTAAACTATAATGGGTTCCTATAAAAACTGCAAAATTATGATTGCCAATAAAAATTTAACAGTTACAACAACAAGCTGTATAATATAATTACGGTAAGTTGTTAACATATTTAGATTATTTGAGTATCTTATGCACTAGCAAATATACATAAAGAAATTCATGCAATCTGGACTTTCATAACACACTTAATGCACATCTATTCAATCACCTTCAGACAGACATCAAATGCAACAGATAGTAGAAACATATCTGAGGTTGAAAGAGTTAATGAGAATTAGTTACTTGAAAAATTAATTTTTTTTTTTGTGCTCAGCTCCATTCCGATAGCATAAAAAGGTGCACAAAACCTTTCCCAAAGATGTTTAAAAGTAAAACCAAACACTGTTAGATAAATTCCAAAACACTAAGAAAGATCTGAGACAATACAGTACCCATATTATGAATATGTTAGCATTAAATTAAAAGTTAATATTCCTGTTAAATTTGCATTTACAATTGCATCAACAGTGCCTATCTAGAAGATTGGCAATTTCACACAGCTTTTAAATACTCTTCAAAGGAGGTAATCACGGGCACTTTCAAGCAGAACAGAACAAAAAAACCTACACTGTATATTAAAACGGAACTTACTGTTCCATTAATGATTACCTTACTGTTTTCCAAATAAATCCTTGGCATTGCGTCGTATTACATTTTACTGGTATCTTTACTGCATCACTTTTGTTATAGAAGGAACTACAGGAAGGACTGCAAAGCTAATTTCATTATTTGGGGGCAATAAAGTAGACCACATACTACATTTTCTGTATTGGAAAAATCCCAGCATCTTTTTTCCCCCCTAGAACATTTCATAGTGCAGTAAACATGTAAACTTTTGGTGGCCCCAGATTTTTTAGCAATATGTTTTCATAAACCTGTAATAGCACTTATGTTTAGATGTTAGAGAAGTAATCATAATAGGATTTTTTTTTCTTCAGAGGTCCTATCTGGAAAATTCAAGACAGTTCTCTAAACATCGAGAATGAGATCTGAAGTGAAATCCTAGAAGGCTTAGTTACAGGCTTAGCATTTTACACACGCATAGTTCCACTTAGCATAAATCTTTGCAGAAGCTGGATCACAAAGGATGTTAACCAAGTTATTTTACTGATATGAGCCCCCATACCTATGGGAATCTACAACATATGCATACACAAAAAAGAAGAAAAATGTCTTTGAGAATACAGTGATGTTGACTGTATTCTTATATTCTAAATAAGAGTCAGGAAAATAAAAACTGATGAAAAAGGTGAAGAGCTAGCATCCAACAGAAAAGGCTGATGACATTTTCAAGAGCTACAGTATTGTCTAGACTGAGAAGGGCATAGCCAAGGAAATGGGACCAAAATATGAGATATGAAAACATAATGAAATCAATTCAGTTATGTTATTTTATTATTTAAGAACCGACACTGAAGTGACTGCAGTCAGAAAAGCCTTGTTGGGAGTGCTAATAGCTGTGAGCTTACACACCCAAGAGAGGGCTGGGAGACCTTGTCTGCTCTAAGATGAAGTCTGTCATGACATGAGGATGTTTTCTTGCTACACAACTACACCTAACTGCATAGCTATATAAAGAAAGGTTAAAAGTAACATTACCAATGCAGACACGTGAAGTGAGTTACAAGTTTCCCAAGGCTTCATCTAAAAGACTCCAGATTTAAACAAACAAACAAAAAACCGGTTGCCCTAAAAGCAAGCTGAGCATTTCTCAGATTTTTTTTGTGTATAAATCATCTTTGGGGAAGGTGGGGAGGATGGGAATGGCAGGGTTGAAGAAAGAAAGAAAGAGCAATTCTTCACCATTTGCTACTGAATGGTTTGCAGAATAAAGTGCTTTGTCACTAAAGCCAGAAACCATGTATCTGGAAAAGATAAAAAGTGAGGGAAGTGATCAAATGAAGCTAAACCAACTATCTCTGTTCCAGCTTGGTGTCAACCCTACCAATACCAAGAGCTTTGTGCCTCTGAGTATTTGTCTCAGAGTGCCATTAGCAACAGCTTCTTAACCTTGTCTTACAGGTTGCTTAAGGGAACATATTTGAATATTTGTTCTACAAAATATTCATATCAACTCAGTTTCTGCTGTTAGATTTTAGTACGACGATTTGTAACTTGTTCCTCTTCTCTCCACCCACTTTATTTAGATTCCACGACAAAGGTGGTGGGTTATTTAAGAATTTTCATTCCTTTTTCTCTTATAAAGGGGGGGGGGGAAATTTTTATTTTATTTTTTTTTAATCAAAAAGAACATCTTTCAATGCTGTCTTCAGGCTGATTTGTCCCTTGTCACTTTTACAGGCTGCATATAAAGCATCACAAAGACTCATGTGTTAGGATTCTATGGCTAACATGGGTTTACTTGATTAAAATATTTTATATTTCTGTGATTGAAACTCTCTGGTAAAATGGAAATAGTAATATTGTCCTATATATTAAGAAGGTTCAACAACAAGTTCAGCTAGGACTTGGACATTATAGAAAAGCTATTATATTAACTAAAAAGAATGAATACATGAGCTGGAGATATGAAGCATATTTCCAGTATGTTTGATTTTTCTACAGTGTGCTGGTAAAGACACTCTGTAAAACTACTGAATATTAAAAAATCTGTGATACACTGATGGCTTTGCCGCTTTAAGACTATGGTCAATTTGAAAGTTGTTTTAACTGTTTGTCAGAGCCCATTTGATAGCCCTATACAGAAACCCAAAAAAGCTTGCTTTGAGCAGCTTTCAAAACCAAGGGGAACATACAGTTTGGAGAAGAAGGATGAGCCTGTTTCAAATATATCCAACAATTTTATGACACTGCTACTGCATTCCTGGAAACATGATTCTTCTTCTCTCACATCTGCCATTATATGTCCTCACATACGTGGCTTCACTTTACTGTGAGCTTCAGAAGCTATTTTATAAAGAATTATTAATAAATATTTTCTATTGAACTCTGCATTTATAATTGCATTATATGTCCGGCAGCTAGGACAATGCAAAAAGATTAAGCTGAACTGAAACAACATTGTACTTGTATGGAATAAAAACATTTATGAACAAGCAAAAAATATTCTGCTAATATTTGCATATTTTACAGTTTAGGAAAGACGAAAAACAAACTTCTTATATAAAAAAAACAATAAAGCATTATGAAAAATATAGTGAAAATCACTATGGAAAAACAAAACTAATACTGATATGCAATAGAAAAATAAAGTTTCTATAAAATGATTAAGCTTAAAAGTAAATTCCTATAAAGAACAAAGGAAAAAAACATTGCTTGCCCAGAACATTTAATAACATAAACCTTGATGAATATGCAAGGAGCTGCAGGCTACACTGTCTGTGGAATATGGGTATCGGCAAAGATTAACCTCAGCTGCCAAGTATGCAGACTATAAAATAAAAGGGGAAAATTCTGTCACTAAAGCAACATAAAATTCTGAACCTAGAGAAGCTTGCACCAGATCACTGGTTTCAGCTACATGACTAGAAGCTTACTGAACACACATACCCATAAACTACTGCTGGAATGTAGCAGATTTGATGAAATAAGAACAGCCTCTGGAAAGAAAGTATGAAGAACAAATGTTCTCAAACTACAGATGTCTCCAAACCTTATAACACTTCTCAACATGAAATAAAAATCAAAAGCTACTACTAATAAACTTAATTAAGGCCTAACAACAATCCAAGAGAAACAACTTACATCTCTAAGAAAAAGAACAAAAAGAAACCCTAGCAGAAAACTGCAATTATTCTTTTAACCAGTGGCCATATACATTTGGTCATCTCAGAACAACATCCCTCATTTTAAATAGAGAAATCCACTTGGACCTTACACAGAAAACCAAACTGAAAATAGGCAATGCATGAAACATTCTCCCTTAAACTATTTTAAAAGGATGCCGATGTTAAAAGCTGTGCTTATTTAGATTTAATTACATAATGGTAAAGAAGAAGTGAACAAAAGATTGTGACTATGTTGTCTGAATTTAAATCCAAATATATTCATGCAAGTTTACTTAAATTCAGAGAAATTACACCAACAGGAAATATTATAATTTAAATTCATGTATGCTTCATAAAGTCACCAGTAAAGCCACAAAACACTATAAAGCACTCACACGTGCTTTTGTTAATTTTCATTCATTAAAACAAGTGCTTAAATATGTGTTTAAATTATTGATATACTTCAATGAATTTAGTCTAATCTTACATAATTTAGAGTGAACAAATGCTGTTTAATTACAAATGAACCTAGAAATACTTTTTGAATTCATATTACTGACAAAAATAAGCTTGTTACCATCATCATTATCTAGTTTGTATGAATGCAATATTTTTACTAGATATTTCTGGATTTTTTTTTCCCCAAATACTGGGATTTTTTTATACTGGCTCATATACCAAGTATTTCTATTGTTACAAGTAACTGCATAAACACAGAGCAGACTTCTTACTCTGCTTGCTTCTGGACTGATTCCCAGCTTGCACATTTAGACAGAGTTAATAAAAATTTAGATTATGTCTGGATTTTTAAGACAAAATTGAGAACAGTAAACAGATGATATTCATCGATATTTACTGTATGTTCATAAAGGTTCAAGTAACGTAACTAGAGTTTAAGCTTGGCTAAGGCAAACTCCTAATGTTCTCCCCAGCAATTCCTCAGGAAATTACTGCAGAAACATACAATACTATATTGTAACTTAAATATTAGAATTTGGTGAAAAATAATTAAATTTATGTGAGTCACTTTAGAGGGGAAGACTCAAAATTAATAGTAGCATAACCATGGACATAA